ATTCCTAATGTATCAGCATTTTTTCAGATTCATTAGTTAGCCGGTGTTAAAAATAAAACAAAATATATATGTAATATTCCGTTAGGAACATTGCTATTTTATATTTTTTGTGTTAGAATTACGTGCATATTCCATCTTCTATCAATAAATATTGTTTTCTATGAGTTTTATAGGCTTTTTTTATTATTTTTTACATTCAACTGAGGATTAAAATTAAAATAAATTAATAGATCATAAATAGAGCTTAAGATAATTTAAAAATTAGAGACTGAAATGGGATTGACAACCTAAATCATTTGTGAGATTAATTATATATATATAGAGCATATGATATGTTTGTACAATAAATTATGTATTAATTAGACATGAGTTTTTCTAGTAGGATAGTTCTATTTATAGTGTGAGTTTCTAACGGTAGGATTAAGTCAAAATTAAATCAGATTGAAAAATATGTAGAAAGATAATTTTTGATAAAGATCTAACAGTTTAAAATAGAAAATTACTGATAGTTTTTTTTTCTATTTCTACTCCTTAATTGGACAACCAATTTATGAAATTTATCAGCTTTTTTCTTTTGAACTTTATCGGTCATCTTATGCCTTTCGAGGAAGGTAACCCATTAACTAAATAGTAATGTTGGTAGGTGCGGTACTATAGTGGTATATGCCGATGAATAAAAATTGTGCTTTGGTTGAAAAGGTAGTAAAGCATTCAATTGAATCAAGAGATTAACTAAATCTTAGCATTTCGCATCTCAAAGGAGGAATATCCTAGTTTTGTGGAGTGAATATTCTATATTTATATAGAGAGAGGGAGTAAACAGCTTGTCAATTGTAGAAAAAAACTGTTCTAGTAGAACCAGAAAAAATGAACTACCGGTAATTCTCTACTTTCAGTTGTCAAATTTATATCAGAAACCGTTTGTTCTGTTCTTTTTTTAATTTAATGTGATTTAAACTTAATTTAACGGTCATAAACTGACACTACAAATAGAATTGACCAACTAGAGAAATTTTTATAAAATAAATAAAACAAAAACAGTTCATAAGTGAACAAATTCAAGCTCCATATACACGAAATAATTATTGTCACTAATCCTTCACGGAAAAAAAAAAAAAAAAAAAAGTCGTTGTCACTGTTATAAATTGAGATTTAATATTAGATAGATTTAACCAGAGATTACACGGTAAACAAGAAGCTTAAATAGAAAACTATAATTAAATAAAGATTTGTGAACACCAAACTTATCACCATTATCTATTGAGATTTGAGTTGGTATATATTTATTCAATAAAACAGATGAAAGTAAAAAGTAAATGAAATGAAAAGAAACCTACTAGAGAGAAAGATGATCTATAAAGGAATCCCTCTTCGGTGAAAAAGATTGTCTTGTGAAGTAGACTTGACCTAATAATGGAGTTGGGAAACCAATAAATTATAAACAAGAAAAAGAGTTCATGACTCCCATTTGGTGCCACACTTTTTGGTTTCGACGGTGACCAAGTTTTGGACCGTTCTTATCTTGCATTTTATTAAAAGCTCGTCTCTACCTGATTATCATGCTTAAGGTATTATGTCATGGGGCATATAGCATTTCAATATATGGAATCTGCCTTGTCAATCATGTTTGCTTTTTAAATAAAATTCATTTGCTCATGAAAAAAAAAAAAAAGAAGAAGAAGAACTAAACTACCAACAGATGCCTTCTGGGAACCACAATTCCGCAGCATGGATTTCCATGTCCCCTCCCTTCTTTTGTTTCCATTAAAGAACGGAATAGAATAGAAAGAAATCTGTATTCGAATAACCATAATATATATTCAGATAAAGTAGAATTCAATGACATTAAAAAATTGAATATGAAGATTCAAAATCGTATTTTTTTTTTTTTTTTTTTTTTTAACTTGTAGGTGGGAATATAAAATGATCCACGCCTTATATTTTGATGCGGAAAATAATATCGAAAAGAAAACCGTGTAAAGGCTAAAATATAATAGGCATGGAAGAAAGCGCCATAAGCTACAAGCTCCTCATCAACCACCTCGGTTCCTTTTTTTTTTTTTTTTTTTTCCCTTCAAACCAATTGTTTTGCATGAGCCAGAGGAGAGTTGAATTTCATCTATAGGGATGAAATATAAAAATCTACAAAAGAACGTCAAAAGCGAAGACATCTCTTTGGATCCCTACCAACGTTGAGTCTAGACGTGAGAATATCTTTAAGCTATTCACTGTAACCACCATTAAAAATTATAGGGCTTGTGTACATGATAGATTATACTTTCACATAACATATAGAGTAATAAGCATAACATGACATTTGTTTAACGTAATATAAAAAAGTAGTGTTGGATAACTAATGGCATGTTCTTTTACCTAACTCGAATCATAACTCAAACTTTTTACTACAGTATTTTCTCTCATAAAAATTTAAATTTAACTTTTTTACTATAGCATTTTCTCTCACATACTAAACTCAAGTTATTTCTTAGAATTATGTCTTTTCAAATCAGTGTTATGTTAATGTGATATTAATGTTTCTAATTTTTATATATTGCATGGAAAGTCCTCTAAGAGGATCAAATCAAAAGCCTGAAATTATATTTATGTTTAACAGCACTATTTTGGTTTTTATTATAGAAATTTAAAAAGGGAAAAACCCAAAAATATCAAATAAAATGATAAAAAATATTATTTATGTTACTCAATTTAATAATAAATAATTATCATTCAATTTATAAATAAAAAATAAAAAACTATAATAACACAAAATTATTTAAAACGACATGAGTGCGTTTGGTTGGTAGATTCGTGACATGATTCAAATCATAGTTCGTGGTTCGCTACAATTTTTTTCTTATAAAAAATATATATAAATTGAGAATAATTTTAAATCATGATTTTAAATTGATAAACTAAACGTCCACTAAATTTTTACGGGGTACCAAACCATGTTCTTTTCTCCATTTAAAATAAAGTGAAACGAAATTAAAAAAAAAAATTGCAATAGCTCATAGCTGGCTACTACTAATATGGGCCGGTGGGTGGGCCCAGATTTTGAGGCTTTTTTTATTAGTTTCGGGACCAGTTTGCAAATGTCTGACAAAACACATGTGCTTTGGTGGTTCAGATTAAGGGTAGAAGGTAGTAACTTGTGTTTCGTGTCAATTTATTAATTATGTTAGAAAATATTAATTTAAATATGATTTATTTATTAAATGTGTTAAAAATATTAACTCAAATATGATTTATTTATTAAGCGTGTTAATCGTATCAATCTGTATCTCATTTAAATTAATATATTAAATAATTAATTAATATAATAATTATTTATTTAACACAATCAATATAAGTTTAACATGTTTATTAGTTAATTTATCTTTTTCTTTAAGAAAAATAAATAAATTTTACCAATAAATATTAAAATTCACATTATTTGTATTTAATATCTCATATAAACTTTCATGTTATATCACATATAATTAGATTGTAGACGACACATATAGTTAATCGTGTCAATGCGTTTCACTTCGTATTAAGATGTCAATCCTAACCCAATCCATTTATTAATTGTGTTAATCGTGTCAATCCGATTATGACTCAAACTCATTTATAATAAACTCAAACCCGTTAACTTCGTATGGGTTTCGAATCGTGTCGTCGTGTCGCTACCTAAATTGCCAATCTAGATTATAACTAGATCACGTCCATTAGGCATTAGGTACGTTGACGCTTTTTCCAGTAATAAAACGCAATTTCTCGGTCTGTGACTTCTCTAACCAGTGACTCTTGCACTAGTATATTTCCCACCGTCGTCATGTGTAATTTCTCGAGAAACAAACAGGTGGATTTCACATTGTCACCAGGGTATAATATAATTGCCATTTTCCCGCTCCTCAACTGTGAATCGTTAACTAAAAAGGGATGTTTGGTTGGAGGATTCACATCAGGATTTGAATCATGGTTCATGGGTCGTTATAGTGTTTTCTCTCATAAAAAATATACGTAAATCGAAAATGATTTTAATCATGTAATTTTAATCTGTGAACTAAACGTTTCTTAACTCTATTGAGATAAATCATAAACGCCAATCAGATTCCACCACGTTGCCAAGGAAAAAAAAGAACAAAATTAACTTTTCTATCAAAGATAAAAAATGATTTCCTTGCACCGGGTGCTTTTTGCCTTTGGCAATAACACAATAAAAAAGCCGCCCACGAGTTTCAACCATCACTGGACAAACAGCGCTCTAAGTTTTGATTTTTGAAAATTTTTGTAAATTCTTCAATAAAATACCAAACAAAAAAAAATAATAATGTATTGTTTTGAAAGAGCAAATTGTTATTCATCTACTTTTGTATACTTCTTTCTTTTGACATGACCTTAACCATAACCACATTAATAGTTTTATATTTTAACACTCCCTCTCATGTGTGGACTGAATAATGAGCAATCGTATGGGTAAATTAATTGAAAAGCTCAACACGTGAATATTTAAGCCCGAGATATTAAAGACCCAACACATGATAATTTTAAATGGGGATAAAGAGTGCAATTACGGGAGTTTGAACTCAGGACCTCCCGCTCTGATACCATGTTAGTTTACCAATCCATCTCAAAAGCTTAAGCTGTTAAGATGTGGGCCAACAATAGTTTTATACTTTAACAGTACCGGTAAATTATATTTTTTTAACCGTTGAATCTGCATCTGCACACTTTTTAATTTTTATGTGATTTTATATATATCTAACAATTAAAAAATCCGACCTATCGGTATGTTGGCGGACCAAAAAAGATCTCTTAATAAAAATCACATAACATAAATAACTCCTTTATTATTTCTTTAATTATTCTTTACTCTAAGCGACGTATTCAATTTTTAATTTTTTTACACCTTTCACAATTTTCTTAGCAATAATTTTAGTCGCAAGTGGGCATCTCTTGGCCTATATATTCCACCTCCCACACCTTCCCAAAACCTCTTCCCCTTCCTTATCTTCTCCTCCTCCTAAATATTGTTGGTCCAAATTCTTTCCTTCTCCTATATTATATATATTATCTCTCATAAATTTGCGCTTCCCTTTGGTTTTTTTCTCTAGTCTTTTGTTTCCTCATCAATATTTTTCCTAATTTTGGTCATCTATGTGCTTCTGATTTACAAATCCATGTATTGATGTTAATTATAATCAAGATCAATAGTATTCATGTCTCCAGTACTCAGTGAAGTCCTCCTTTCTGGGTTTATGATAAACTCAAGCCTCCGCCGTAGGACTCATCTTGTTCAATCCTTCTCTGTTGTCTTTCTTTATTGGTTTTACGTTTTTTCATAAATTAGATCATCTTAATATAATTATTATATTCTTAAATATCTAGTTAATTTGGAGCAACATATAAAACTTTTTTTTTTTTTTTTTTTTTGCTTTTGATTGAGATATTGAAATTTGAGGACTTCTATTTTAATTTGTACGTACCAAATTAATTAAGGCAAGCACATATTATTATTATGGCTTCCTCTAGCACTACTGGGGCATCTTCAGGGTCAATGAACTCTGATCAGGAGGATCAGCAGCAGCTGCAACTGGTTGACCAGCGAAAGCGGAAGAGAATGCTGTCCAATAGGGAATCGGCACGTAGGTCTCGGATGAAAAAGCAGAAACACCTGGACGATCTAGCGTCACAGGCCGGTCAGCTAAAGAATGACAACGGCCAAATCATGACCAGCATCAGCATCACTACCCAACTTTTGGTCAATTTTGAGGCTGAGAACTCTATCCTCAGAGCTCAGATGGGTGAGCTCACCAACAGATTACAGTCCCTGAACGAGATCATAAACTGTATTAGTTCAACCGCTAATTGCCTTTATGATCATGAGATCGGGGATGATTATGACACCCAGATGATAATTAACGTCAATGATGTAATGATGAACCCATGGAATTCTCTTCTGAATCAGCCAATCATCGCCTCTGCCCATGATCAGATGTACATGTACTGATTAATCCATAAGGGATCCATCTTTTTAGAGCTTTTCCGGTTGGTTGTGTAGGTTATTCTACTATACCGGTAGAGTAAATAATTTTTTAGTCATTCGATTAAAATTTTAACGTCTGATTTATGAGCGTGCATATTAAAAATAATTACATTTTACATTAAAAAATTATTCATACTCATAAATTAAACAGTTAAAATTTAATCAAATAGCTAAACAAATTACCTGCTAATTGGACAAAACAGCGATGCCCTACAAATTTCCTTATTTCCTTAGTGGTTTTATTTTGTGTAACCTTGGAGCTTTTTGTAAGTAGCATTGTTGGAGAAGAGTGGTATCTTTCTGGTTTTGTCTTTATGGAATAAAATAATAACTCCATTATTGTACCTTGTCTAAGTTTTCATTTCTCTTTTTAGCCCCCAATCCAAGCTCCCGTATATGATGTGTCTTTTCACTTTAATGGGTGGTGTGTCACTGTACATATATACATAAATGCTCAAAAATCGATCAAATTAAGAGTATGATTTGAAAAATATTAAACAAACCATAATCTTATGAAAAAAAACGTATATTCAAGCATAAAAGTACCATTATTAGTGGATTAGTATCGATTAGATATGACTTTGAAGATATATATATATATATATACTTTTTTTTTTTGGATCGATTAGTATTGTTGTGACGACTAATTATAATATATATTAATATATTAGTAGTGGACCTCTAAAGTGTTATATTAAGCAAATAAAGTGGTGGAAGTTGCTTTCTTGTGACGGTGTGTATTAAGCTATATATGTATGAGGGCCCTTTACACAGGAATCATGATGAATATATACCCTACTACTTAATGACTTGTACAAATACACACACACACACACACACACACACACACATATATATATATATATATTAAGCATAAAAGAAGACCGAATTTCTTATGTTCATGATAATATCAATATTCTGTCAGAAACAAAAGTCTCCAACGGGAATTATTGCAATCCAAAATCCAAATTATTGTGGATTTTACCCCCTTTTTACGTCGCCCTTCTACCTATTGTCGGTTTGAAAGTTTTAGCAATGTCATATAAATATTGATCAGCTTAAGTTCGAGAAATTTTGGTATTTCTTGTTTCTATAGGTAATCAGAGATGAAATGAATTCTTAATCAGCAGGGGAATTAATTATCATGATCTTTACATGGGTTTATCTAATGCTTAACCAGCTATAGCGTTCGCAGCAGCTCTATACATATTATAATATTAAGTGTCTAATATTTAGAACTTATCTGAGCAAAACGCTAAAAAATCAAGTTCTATTTATTTTGGTTTTATATTTTTTTGAGAATTATTTTGGTTTTTGTATTATATATATATATATATGTTGACGGTGAAAACTCGTCAACAGAAATAGACCGGGTCTACTCTAGGTATTCCGTTGGATTACCGGTTTGATATTGACTGTGTACAATACATGCAATGAAGTGTTTGGTGTATTTTTTGAGTGGTGAGCAATATAAGAAAAATATGCTTAAAGTAGAAGAACACACGAAATTTATAGTGGTTCACTCTTGTAAATGAAGAGCTACACCTACTGCAGTTTTATATTCCTTTTGAGATTGTTACAATTTACATCAACAATTGCTCTCTCGTTTTTTCTCTCTCAGGAAGCCAACCTCCTTTTTGTATGGGGCTTCGCCCCTTTTATAGCCGAGCTTTTTTCGTTGGGTGGGTTTCCTTTGTAGACAGAAGCACTCAAGTGGTCTGTCTTTCTAGGCCCAGATCGTAGCCCACTAATCACTTTTGCGAACTGTTCACTCAGCCAATTAGTCTCCCATTACGGCTCTGGGCGTACCTGTAACCATTTTCTGTCCCTCGTAGGGCGGTTTCAGGGTTTGCAATTAATGCCTATACTGCAGACATCTCCCGTTTATGCACACAACTTGCGATGTCAGGCTTTCCCCTTTTGGGGCATTCCTCTCGCCGTCTCTATTTGCTCATCCTAGTTGTCTTTCTTGGCAATTGATTTCTCCCGAAGGATTCCCGTCGTAAGGTCGACAATGCGACCTGTCGTCGTCATGAGGAGTCGACGTCCTAAGTTGGGCTTTCTTTGCAGCAAAAGGAAAAGGAGTCCTCAACGTGGAGGGTTGTTGCCTTTTAAAAGAAAACAATATATATACATATAATATCATATTTGTTTTAGTTATATAGATGGATGGTGCGAAATCTAATTTATTATTATTATTTTTTATCGACGACAAGATTAATACTCCATTGACTTTGTTAAAAAATAAAAAAGTAATCACAAGTACTATATATTGATCGGGCTTAGTAATTGCACTCCAATATTAGCTAGAGTGGTTTTTCTTCCATTCCGGATGAGATGCTCTTAATTCATTTGTTCTCACCTTGATCGTTTCTTTAACAGACAGTAGAGACAAATTAACATGAAGAGATTCCCTAAGTCCTAATTTCATATTTGTGTGTATATACATGTGTATATAGTTAGGTATATACGTACGTAATGATTCATTTTGTAATTCAGTCGCTATTTCTTTTTTTATTCAAGAAAGTACAACTATGCCGCTGGAAAACAATCCTTTGACATTCATCACACAATATTTTAAGTCTCTCCATTTGTTTAACTAGTCAATATTGCACGCAAGACGGAGAATAAATTTAAAAAAAAAAAAAAACAAAGAATAAAAAACAATTATACGGCAAAGGAGATTAATAACAATTTACTTTCAATTTTGACACAAAAAATAAATTAAAGTCAGAAAAAGAGTGCCAACATTCCGCTGTCATAATTGGTTGGCCAATATTTTGGCCAGCCAAGAAGGAAAAAAAAAAAAACAAAAAAAGGGATCAATGAACGTCATTGGAAGGTTCTTAACCCACATTTGATAAAAACTTTATAGCATCGTTTATTTTATCAATTTAAATTTTCAGTTTTAAATTTTTACACTATAAAACTCTTAAAAAATATCACATTTAATTTTTTTTATTACAGTAAAAAATTCTTAAAAAATATCACATCGCAGTTCAAATTGAAAACTCATATGTGGTCCAAATAGTCCATGAAATTTCAGTATTATAAACAATCTGAGAATATAATATTGCTTAAGACCCATGTTTATGATGTACTTATGTGTAATCCATTATTTTATTTTGTGGTTTGGCATAATAAGTACACTTAAGTTCCTTAAAAAAAATGTAAAAATGGGAGTCTGATTAAAAAGATGACGCCCATGGAACTTCTGCCCCACTACGTTGTCAAAAAGATCAAAATAAGCAAAAGTGATTAGGTAAAACTGGTATTATATATTCTAGTTATCCTGCTAATTAATATTTTAGAAAATCACCGCAATTGACTGGCTAACATTAATATAGTGATAAGTAGTATGAGTGTGGATCATTTGTTTTTTTAATTATTTTGATGGCATTTATATTTTTAACTTTGGAAGGTGGACTACTTATAAATTAATTTGTTGTTTGTATTAAAAGAAGATGATGAAAGCATGCATGTGGCCAACCAATAATTGTGACAAACGGCTAACATGAGCTGATCTGAGAAAAGACAATTTAAAAGAAGATTGATTAGTTACTCTCTTGATTTGGCTTAGTGGAAGTTTTAGGCCATTTTAAATATATTATATATAGGGCATCGCAAAATCTTTATTGAACGGGGTCTACGATAACAAATTTAAATTTTCTTTCTTTCTTGTTTTCTTTTCCATTTTTTTTTTAGCCCTCCTGATTTGATTCATTATTTATTATAAGATTCGCTCTTTAACATTTCATGTACGTAAATTACTCCTAAATTTTTATTCTAACAAATTACTACTAAATTAAAAGTATTGTAGAGTGCCTATAAATCTGTGACGGATATAAGATTTTAGACAAAAATGCAGTTGTATACAATAGGTGAGCTTATTGGAAGGAAGAGAAATAGTGAACGTATTTTATTATAAAGATATTTCTTTTCAAATATTATTTACACTATTTTATTAGATTCCAATAATATTTTTAGAATAATAGTAGAGACAGAATATTTTTACTAGAGAATTTTCCATTCCGATCAAAGTTCATAGAAGAAATAAAATCGCTAACAACCCTTTTCTGTAAGTAATAGTAATATGTTAAAGGAAGAGCAATCATTTCTTTTTAAAACAATACGAGCACGTTTGATTTATGTGTTTAAACTAGCTATTCTTAATTTTAATGTTAACGGTGAAATTTCATCAATCAAGAAAACACTAGATTACCGCTTAATAGTCGGTTAGATTACCGGCCAAACCACGTGTTAATAATTGTTTTGTATCCGGTTAATTTTTATAGAAAAGTGCAATTGGTCGTGTATGGATTCTATGGATGCTCGAAATATGAATGAAAACGTAAGAAAATGAAAATAACACCATAAATTCTAGTGGTTCACTCTCAATGCAAGAGCTACATTCACTTTTAAAAATATCTCTCTCTCTTCTTTCTTTTTTATTACAATAAGCTCAATTCTCTCAAAGATGACCTCTCTCTTTCTTTCTAGAGCCTTCCCCCTTTATATCTCATATATTACATTTTGGAGGAAACCGAGACATAGAGTTACCCAACAGTTGCTCTTGAGTAGCTTATTATCCTACTCAACTAGACTGTAGCTATTCAGTACATTTTTTGACTGTTCATCTACATACTCTGTCCACTATTACGGCCTATGACGTCCTCGTGGCTTCCCATTGGTCTGTTTTGCATGGCTAACAGGCTAGTAATCATTTTCTTGCCACTGACTTTGTTTATACCCACAAGTAACCTAGGGTTTTCCCTCCTGTCACCTCGGGGGATATTCTTAGGATCTGGGTCGGATGACTTAACATGCTACTCTCTCCGCTTTCACTGGGCCCGAATGGCAAGTTAAGATAGAGCGTTCATCCTTGTCAATCCTTACATACCATCAACGGTCTACGGGATTTTGGAGTCATCTCCATCTTAGTCGCTCAATCGGTCGACTACCATCGTGGATGTTACACATTACAAGCTTGTTGTTCCTAA